GGAATAATGGAAGCAGCACACAGCTCTGAGAAAACAACTCCATTTCTTCAAGCAAAGCAACCCTTGTCCCTGGAAAGCTTTCAGAAATGTCAACCCTGTGAAGATCAGCCCTGCTGGGTGCTGCTCCCTGGCTGGCCCAGCACAGGTACCAGCACTCTGCTCCCTGGCACCTCTGGCCACATCCTGCCCCAGTGTGGAGCTGCCCACGGGGCACTGCCAGCTCAGCCAGGCCTGCTGGAAATCACACCCTGCTCAGCACAGCTGTGCCAGGAAGGCTCACACTGCAGTCCCAGCCAGCCCAGCCCTGGCTAGCTGGTCTGTGCAATGCCTGTGGGTGGGCTCAGCCAACCATGCCTTCAGATAAATCCTCACGTTTTAACACTGTCAATCTCCACACGGGATTATGTTTTCATTTGATCTAAATATACCTCTGAGAAGTTCTTTGTTTCATTTCTATAATGAGGACAATAGAGTCGGTTTTCTTCCCTGAAAAAAAAAAAAAAAAAAAAAAGCATATTTTTCACACATGCAAACAAAGCTTCATTAACATTCCTCCATTCTGCTTTGCAATACAGAATATTTCAGCATGAACCTTATCTAAATGAACCAACCCCTGCAAAGTTATCTTTTTTTCATCTGGTTTTTAGAAGTACTTTTTGCTTATTAGAAACACACTCAGACCACACGGAATGACATGATTTATACTCTCAAAGTACCTTTAAACCTTGGTATTCAAAGGACAGGAGGCACAGAGGAGAGCTGGGACAATGCTTCAAAGGAGGCAAGCTGAGGGATTACTGGGGTTAGGTGTATTCTCAAAGCAAACTAGGGGAGACAAGAAAGGCAAAGACAAAAGGGAAAGCAGAGAGGCACAGAAAGGAATCAGCCAGGTAGGAGCTACAAGTGGGAGCAAACATCTGCAAGGTCCTTGCAGAGACTCCTCAGCCTCATGAAATCACCAGGGGATGTCCTGTGGCACCTTCTCAGAGAGGCCTTTGGGTCACACAGGCTTTAACTCGGCCAAGCAATTAGTCAGGACTTCAAATATACTAATTGATTCCAGTGAAGTCAATGAAAGCAAATTGCTTACACTGTTTACATCTTTTGCAGTACCGAGAACATGAGGATATTGAGAGAGGGGATGGGAAATCAATAGCTTGGGAAATGGCAACGCAGAGGAAGGCAAAGCTGAGAGTTGGGTGGAAGCAGCAGGGAGAGGGAATGTGGACAGAACATTGCTACTGCACTGAAGATCGTGGTGAAATGATGTGGGACAGGGACAGCACTGAAAGCCCTGGAAATAGAATGGAGGAAAGATGACTTTTAGCCTGCTCAAAGTTCTACCAACCAGGTAAGAGGCCAGACAAAAGCAAAGTTACAAAGGAAGCAAAACTGAATAGAAGTGAATTTGCTTTCACGTGATAACCACTGCTTTAAAATTACTAGATCTTTGCTGTAAGAGAAATCTACATCCATTCCAGCTGGAATTAGAGAGAACTTCATGCTTTTTCATTTTCACTTCCTTCACTCAGAGCAAAACTCCTTTCTCTGTGTGTTTCACCTCACATATAGCATCTACAAGTGAATTCACCCCATTGATGATCTAACAGTAGCTGTCAGCCCTGCAAAAGATGTGCTGGAGTTAAACACAATGTACTCTCCACTCCAGAGCAATGGGAAATGACTCTAACCTGAAGTCTGCTTTTAGCTCTGAAAATGCCTGTAAGGTTACAGAATGCAGAGATGTCACAGTATGTAGCACACAGAATACAGACGGCATAGATGTATTTTACATACAGCATGTGTATATAGAATACTTAGCACCTCAAATATATCAGTTTCCTTCATACCTGACCAGATCAGCTCCTAGCCCAGGGGAATCCCTGTCCATGACCATGCAATACAGCTCTTAACTTACAGTCAAATCGACCACAAAAAAATCCTCACTGTGTGAAGAGGAATTATATAGTCACTTACTTAAATCAGCTTAAGGAGATACCTAACTCTTACCTTCTGTGATACCAACAGGGACAAAATAAAAGCATTTCAAGTCCTGTGATTTCTCAAGTAATAATAAAGTCTGTGGTCAGATTACAATTTTAACAAAGCTTCGTTTCTATTACACTCAGCAGGCTGAACACAAAGTGAGTCAAAGATCAAGAGTAACTTATCTGAGGTGTCAAGTGCAGAAGGTTAAAGGTGAAATTTTATTAGGTCAAAGGTGATATAAATAAAATCTTTTCTGTCACAGAAGAAGGGTCACAGACAAGATGTATATAATCTAAAGACATCACAGATGACAAGTAATAACTTTAAGTAGTACAAGTGTGTTCTCACTACAGTTACCTCCACTGACTAAAAAAATTGAAACCAGTGATAAATAAGTACCTGTGAGTATTAGAATACTTCCCTGGAATATGGTTTTATTCCATGTAACACTTTGGAATTTTTCCTCAAGTATTTCAGAACTCGAGGAGCTGCTGAATGCTTTGGCTGTGGGGGTGGCAGTAACTGTGCATGCTGAACAAAGAGGTACACAAAGCAAATTGATCCAATAAATAAAGCTGCTTTCCTACTTTACACTGACCATAACTCTAACATGCAGATCTCACCAGAGCTCTTTGGAAAAAAACACAATAACAAAGAACAGAGAGGGCCTCGGGCCAAGGAAACGTCAGAGTACAATAATATCAGTCAGAATTTTATACTCTAATTGAAACACAGCTATAAATAATATATAAACTATCTGACAATGGAAGCATCCACGTGTTACCTGTGTGCCAAATCCTAGGCACCACCTTGATTAAGGGTACTGAAATCTGCTGCTGGAATCCTCAAGCTGTTCATTCAGTCCAAGCTCTTCTCTCCTGCACTACGTGTGGATTTCAGGGAATCTCTGCATTTTGCCTAATCCTGCTCTTAAATTCCCATCAAAACGTGTTGCTGACAATCCCTGGATTTCAGCACACGATGTCAGACACCACAAAAATCAGGATCTCTGTGCCCTCTAGTGGAACTTGGCCTTCCCCAGCTAGGTGCAAATGCAGCTGAAGGCACTGATCCCTTTTTTTTGGGCAGCTGGAATCGCTCAGCCATCAAATCAGACGCTGTGAATAGTGTGTAACACACAGGCAAAAGCACATCCAGCTCCCTGTTTTCCTCCAGATCCACGAGAGCCAGCTATCCTGCAGGAACCACAGGTCAGTGACAGATCCAGCAAAGGCTGGGGAGACACAAGATGATTTCAAGGCAGTGTGGACCAACACCAAAGATGCTGGAAATCTCCCAGCCTGCATCTCCAGGCACAGAGATGCAGTGTGAATCCTTCTCCCATACACCCAGCCTGGCATCTGAACACCAAACCCAGCCCACAAAACTCCCACCAACCACTGTCCAAGAGGAAAAAAAGAAACTGAGAAACCAGTTTATGTACTTTAGTTACAGTTGGGAAAGGACAGGCAAAGTGCAACTCAGCACACAGTTATTCCACCAGACTACTGTATCTGTCCAATCAGCTTTTCCTGGTTTTGCAGTGATAACCACCTCTATATTTCAGTGCCTTAGAGGCCTAACTCTCCAGAGCTTTTGAAAAAGGAAAGATCTTACAATGTAAGAAACTGGAAATAAAGAGAAGATTTCAGCAAATGAAAATAGTAACAAGAACTGTGAAGGAAACAGAAAAAATTAGAACTACTGTACAATGTCACTGGAATCAGCTTGGCTGGAAACAGATTTCCAGACACAATGAAGTGAAATCTCAATCACCTCTGAAGAAGTGTCTTGCACAGAATTTCCTCCTCACACCTGACAGGTGTAATACACAGACATTCACTACTTGTTTTGGATGTGGCAGAATTCTAGAAAAGGCATGGACTTAATACTGCTGTTCAACTCAAAATTAAGTCAGAAAACCATTCAGAAATCTTTTCCACAAAACAGCACATTCTCTGGATGTAAAAACATCCTCAGTGCTTCCTAAAAATCACCCTCTGTGCCAGCTCTCCTAAAGAAGCTACTGAAAAACTAAGTACTGTTCTTCTTAGCAATGCTAATAGTTACAAACCATTTCCAATCTTACATGCAGAATAGTTTAACAGTACAATTTCCAGCACTGTGGACCTTGATGCCCAGGACAGCACATCTGATAGCCTAAAAAAGGACTAAGGTATTTCAAGCAACAAGAAGGAGCCAAGGGAAAAAAACAAGATGCCAACACCCAGAACACATCATGTTTTTATGATGAAAAGATGAATACAGTGGGTATTTCAAGCAACAAGAAGGAGCCAAAGGAAAAAACCAAGATGCCAACACCCGGAACACATCATGTTTTTATTATGAAAAGATGAATACAGTAAGGTGAGAAATGCCTCTGATTAATAGAAAAGCAATTAGTGACAGTTTAGGAAGACTGGATTTCAAAGGGCAGCTCCTGAAGTACTGGAATGCACTGTTTCCTCCATTCCCTCACACTGGCAGTCTACTATGGCTCTGTGCTAACAGCAAGAGTCTTGATCAATTCCCTTGTAAGGATTCCCAGGATTGCCCCAGGCTGCTCAGCTGGATGGCATTTAAAACCAGAAGTAATATAGAAAAAATATCACAACACTTACCACTTCTTCATCTGAAAGCTCTCGTCCTTGTATGCTGCTGTTTTCCCTCACAGCTTGTTGGTGCTTTTTCCCTTTAATGTGGCTAAAGAGATACACTTCTGATGAAATCTGGAATGACAATGACTTCAGTCATTTTCTCTTGCAAATTCCATAATCTATAGATAACAATATTTTAAATATAAAAGGTGCCAATTTGTCAGGAGTGTGTTCAGAAGTTCAAGTACAGTACTGTGCTCCTCAGCTTAACTTACATCTTTTATGCAGGATTTAAGAGTAAATTCCAGAATGATTTTCTAGCCATCAATGTAATCACAGATTAAAAATAAAATCTTATCATCTCACTTGTACTTCAATCTAACTATATATTGCAATTGCACACTGGAATGATCAGTGACTGTGCAAAACTCCAGTATGCTGAGCCTGAGTTTGTTCCAGCACTGCCTGAGGTGATCCCAAGCAATCCTGCTTAATTTAGCAATTAAAGAGACATAGTCTCTCTTTAGTGGGATAAAGGCTACAATAATGCACAGTCTTTGCACACCAGTAAAACCAGTTATCAACAGTAGGTATCTCCCAGCCTTCCTGGATGGCTTCTCTCCTCCACCACTGCTGGGACACACCTCAGGGCACACACACGCAGAGATTCCCTGCCGAGACTGGAAATCTGCCTAGCCAGAAAACAAGACACCAAAGGAAAAGAGACAAAATAAACACAGATTTTCCAACACTTTGAAGCCTCCAACCAAACTCAATTCAAGAACTTCTGGAGCTTGACCCAGTTTCTCGGTATTTAGTATCCTACAGTGAATTTCAGCCAAATGAAACTTGTCCAATCAACCCCTGAACTCATAGTAAATTCAAATACCCACAGGACCTCACGAGGTGTTCACAGCTCAGCTGTCTGCTATGTAAAGAACCACATTCTTCATCCACCTTCCATTTGATACTCCTGAATTCCTAGTTTCTTAGCAGAGACAACTAATAACTGAGCACTGCCCACATTCTCCATTCTACCTACAATCTGCAGTTCTTCCCAGTCTACCCTAACCCACCTGATTCACAGACAGAAAAATCCAGAATAAGGTGTACACCAGAAGAGCAGAGACACAGTAAATGTGCAGTGCTCTCACCTTTGTAGCTTCATGGCTTAGGTTGGCCCTGTAACCCCAACAGTATTCCCTAACTTACCATGACATTGCAGAGTGAGCACTGTTTCTTTCGTTCATACGGTGTAAGTTTTGGTGCATAATCAGTATTAGCATGTCTTCCACTGCTTAATTCAGCTGCTTTCTCTTTTCTTTGCTCAATTTGTTCCATGTGCCTTCTAATACTTTCATCATGCTGAAAGGAAAAGAAGCAGAAAAGAAGAACACATCGAATTACAGCAAACAGAATTACTGTACGAAGAAATATTGATCTATTTTTCAACCAATGTATCCTTTTATACCTTCAGCTGAATCTTCTTCTGCAGTTCTTCCATGGCTTCTTGCTGAGCTGCAGTAAGAGCTGCCAACCTCTCTTCTCGATCCCTAACCAAAAGGGAATAAAATACAGAGAGAACTTGTAATAAAATCTGAATAACACTGACAGATGTAGGTCTGAAACGGAGACCAAAATCCCCCCAAAACGAAGCTGGAACCTTTGCAGCAGGACATGGATCATCCCTCAGTCCAACTCTGAGCAATGATAGTCAAGATGATGCTCCTCCCAACCAGTGCTGCATGTGAGGCCCTTGTTCAGACAACTGTTGCAGTCAGTGAGCCAAAGGGGAGGAGAGGAAGGGCAAACTGAAGACAGGCCTTACAGCCCTCAGGGCAGTGGGTTTTATAAAAATGATGATCACTGCAAGTTTGAATATAGAAACTTACAGATAAAACTCTGACCAACAATCAATAGTTTCATAGTATGTTAAGGGGTTGGAATGGAGCTTAGAGATCACCCAGTCCCAACTCCCTGCGCTGGGCACGGACACCTCCCATCACAACAGGTTGCTCAAGGTTTTATTCAACCCAGGCTTTGAACACTGCCAGGGCTGGGGCAGCCACAGCCTCCCTGGGCAACCTGTGCCAGTGTCTCACCACCCTCACAGGGAAAACTTCTGCCTAAGATCTAATCTGAATTTCCCTTTCAATTTATCTCCACTGCTCCTTGTCCTGTCACTGCAGCTCCTAACCAAGAGTCCCTCTGCAGCTTCCCTGGAGCCCCTTCAGCTCCTGGCAGGTTGCTATGAAAAATGTTTATATCAAATAATACAGTCTTGAGTGATAAACTGATGCTCTAGAACACTGCAGTTCTAAATGTTCAAGGCAGAGAGCAGCAAAAGAGGCATTTACCTGTCACCTTCTCCACATTATTGCAGTCAGGACCTACTCTGCTCACTAAACCTGTCTGCCCTACTTTCCTCTTCCCAAAACTGAATCATGACATTGCAGTGGAGTTTGTTATGGGTGGATTTCTGTTTGCTTGGGGTTTTTAAACAGAAATCTGATATAAAACCCGAATCACTTCAGTAAAAGCAGAAGGCTCAGATAAAGGAACATTTTAAAGCAAAAAGCCTCAGAAAATTTAAAAGAAGACAGGGAGGAAGTAAGTTGAATGATAAACACTAACTCTTCCAAAGACCATGGCCATGGGGGCTGAGGAAGAGATGATGGATGAGAAGCATTAGGCAGAGTTTCTGTGCTATCTCCTGAGGTACAAAAAGAAAAACCCAACTACAGTCTTTGTTTTTGTTTCACAGAGCTCCTGACTCACACCAGGAGCTGAAACAAATCACAACTAACACATGACCCAAACCCAAAGCTTCTTTCAGCTCCTTCTTTCAGTTTGTGTTTTTATGCATTGGTTAAACGCTATAAACTACAACAAATTGCTATCACTGCATACTTGGGGTTAACAGGATTTGAAACAAAACTCTCCAGTTTCCATTTATAGAGCACCAACATTGCCCCTGCACAAGCCCTTCTGAAAAGCCTTTTTACATGGTTAGGGCACATTATGCAGTTTTATGATTTCTATTGACAAGAACAAAATTTTCCATATTACAGATTTCAACTCTCTGGAATATAAAATACTTTGAAATTACAACTAAAACCTTACTGGAAACAAGCTAACGTACCATAAGGGCAGAGGGGCTTTTAAAGGCAGTTTTAAGTACACTATTCCTTTCATACAGATGCTTTAATCACCACCAGATGCACATGGTAAAGCTTATACTGAAGAAACTTCAAGCAGATACTCCAGAAATTACTTATTCCTGCAAGTATTAAATCTTCAGGATCTGAGCCAAATCCTAGCAGCAGGAAAAAAAAACCCCAACTAAACACCAAATGATACCCTGAGGCTGAAATCCAGGACGGAAGGGACAGCACAGCCAGCTCCCTGTCAGGCTCATCCTTCCCTCAACTGCCAAACCAGGACACTTGGAATTCTCCTCTAATTCTGCTGTGTTAGAGAAACCTCAGAACTGTGATTAAGATGTAATGACTCTGAGGCCACTCTGACAGAACAGAATCACCAGATTGAAGGGCACCACACATACACTTTTTCCTCCTCTTTCCCAAAATTATTAGAAGAAAAAAGAAGAAATCTCTTGTGTAATCAGTATCTGGCAAAGAAAAACAAGTGCAAGCACAGAGCTGTGATATCCAGTCCAAAGTGTTTGAAAACTGAGTGTTGTAGCAGCAAATCCAGAAGAAATTTGCTGACACACAATGCAAACAGAAGGCAAATGGAAACTGCTGCTCCTCACATGTCCTAAGGAAATCAGTGGGGTGCAGAGGGAAGTGGCAGGTTTAACATTGACTCCACAAAGAGTGAACAGTTATGTGCTTGGAGCTGTTAGACAAGTTCTCACTGTAGAAGACCTTACAAGACAAAGATGTCAATGGGACAATTATCCCATGTTTTTTTGCTGTGAGGGCTTCCTCAAATTTCAGAAAGATGCAGAAGCCTCACACATGCAGTGTCTATTTTCCCAAAACAGCATATCCGAAATTCTCCCTGTGAGTCCTAATCTTCAAGTGTCTGCAAATAAGATGCTGAATATCCCTTCCAGCTCACTCTAGCTCACTGTGACTTTGGCTCAATACACTGAGGAAGTCCATGAAGTCTTGGGAAAGGCTATAGATCCTACCCACAATTCATTACACATCTAATGGAAAGCTCAATCTCTTTACGATGTCAATCATGATTTGGGAAGATCAACAGTGACAAATAAAAATGTATGAACAACCATTAGTGAACACCCATCACAGAAAAAAAAGTGAATTTTATCCAGGTGTTATGGAACGTTTGTAGCACAGGAACCATAGGAGAAGAGGGAGTAATGGGAGGTGAATACAAAGAGTTTGGCAAATTAAACAAGGAGAAAGCAGTTTCCCTGTGTCAGACCTGAAAGCAAACCTCTCTGCACCTCAGCTGTGGCTCAAAAGAAAGAGAGAGAAGAGCCCACGCAAAATCTCCTCTATGAACTCCTGATTCTGGGCAAAACCATCAACCAAGCAGTTTGCAGGTAGTGGAATTAATGAAGCCTCATTTCCCAGCCTTGTGCTTCACAAACGTCATCTCTGATGTCTACAAAAAGGTGAACTCAAATTGATGCCACTAAGTCCAAAAGCTCCTGGAGAGTGGAGGAAATGGGGAACAGGGGAACATTAATTTTGCTTCCTCTGAAAACTAAGGTAAAATATGGAAAAGGCAAATTATTAAAAGGTCTTGTCAGCAATAAAGCTAAGAGGAATATAATAAAATACAACCTTGCATCTATCTAAGGAATACAAAACTTTATTACTGAATCTGTGATGACTCACCTGATTTCTTCCGTCAAACCATTCATCATAAACACTTATTAATGCTGCTGTTTAAACTCCTGACAGGCTAGGGAGGCACTGCTGTTCCAGAGAGGGTGCAGTGTGCTGGAGAGGGGGACAGGGAAGGGCAGGGAAGCAAGAAGTGCCTGAGGAGTTACCTGGCCCTCTCCCGTGCAGCATCTTCTCGGGCTTTCTCCTTCTCCTGCCGCTGCTGCTCGATCCGAGCCTCCTGCTCCTTCCTGCGCAGCAGCAGCTCCTCCACCCGCGCCTGCCGCTCTGCCTCCAGCGCTCGCTTGCGCTCCTGGAGGGGGAAAAATTTAAAAAGCATTAACAGAAACTCTGTTTTATCTCCTTATGGAATTTTAGCTTTCCCCATGGAGTAAGAACTGAGATTTTAGGAGCTAAAGGAGTAATATGCAAACATGACTGTACTGAGAAGCTTGGACACACATAGCTGTGTGACTGACCTACACGTGAACTGGCCATGTGTCCTGCTCATCCTGAGGAGGTCACAGCATCATAGTAGGTTAAGGGCTTGCAATGGAGCTTAGAGACCATCCAGTCCCAACCTCCTGCCATGGGCAGCGACACCTCCCATCACAACAGGGTGCTCAAGATTTATCCAACCTGGCTTTGAACACTGCCAGGGCTGGGGCAGCCACAGCCTCCCTGGGCAACCTGTGCCAGTGTCTCATCACCCTCACAGCAAAACTTCTTCCTAATATCTAATCTAAGTTTCCCTCTCTGCAGTGCTTGTTCAACTGCAGCCTAAGGACAGCCCAATGCTTACATAGCCCAGGAAAGGACTAAAACTGACAGAGACAAGAAAGAGTTAAAAAACCCCAAATCACAGAAAGGAACACTCCAGGGAAGCCATGCTCTGGAAAAGGGGAATATGAGTAACTACAAGAAACAGGATCACTGAGATTAGGTTTTTGACAATCCATCTGGAAGAGCACTTTTCACTGACAGTGCAATCGACCCTTGGAAATCCAGAAATATTTAATCCTCTCTCATAAAGTTTCATCCAGCCCTTTTGGAATATGTTCTGCCTCAAAACTGGCTGCAGAACCACTGAAGTCAATAACATGCCCCATTTTTCAATACATTAGTATTAAAAAGGCCAAACCCAACCAGACAAGAACCAACCAAGACTCCAGGAACAAACATGTTTGTGCTGGGGCTTCCCCTGATCCTGTGTAAAGCACTGTCATTCTGACAGCAGGCATAGGCTAAGGGATATTTTTCTGCTTCCTCTCTCAAAGTTCTAAGTATTACCAACAGCAAAGGATTTCATTATAGAGGAATAATAAATATTTTTTAAAGTTTAGGACAAGCATGGATCATCTCCCCAGCAGCAATGATACCTCTGCTCGAGGGGTTTGAGACTTACCTTCTTCCCTCTCAGAGCTGAAATGTTTGAAAGGACAAACATAACAGAACAAACTTCTCTAAAGCTGAGTAAAGGATGGAAAGCAACAAAGACTGCAGAGCACATATGAAACACACACATTTCCTTGTCCCCCTGCAGATATTCTGTACCTGAACTGCCTCATCCCGGGCTTGTTTCTCCTCCTGCCGCCGCTGCCGCTCCTCCTGGAGCTCGTTGAGGCGCTGCTCATACTCCTTCAGCTTGTTCAACACATCGTGGCGTTTGTTCTGAGCTTCTAAGGTGTTTATAAATGCAATTTCATTGACCTGCAAATCATCAGAGGGTGTAAGAGAAGACCTGAGAAGCTGAAATGAGTTTCATTTGCAGGGAATTCCATCCACTTGTTAATCACCCATTTGATAATGAAACTGTGGGATATTTCTCCAGATTGGTTTGGAAACCTACCAGGTTGAGAATAAGGCTTTAGAGTTTTTATGTGCTTTCTTGTTTTGGTTTGTTTTAAACAACATAGTCCATGGAATATAAAAAGAGAAAGTCAATTGTATGTGAAAAACAAGAATGTTTGGGTAAAATGCAGAAAAAGCTTCCCAATCTTCTCAGCAATGAGACTGCATCAGTCTATTCTCTCATTCACCTAATGTGGAATGACAAGGACCAGACAGATACATCAGTACAATACAGAAGTGTTAGCAGAATCCAACAGGTCTTTGATCTAACTTGAGATATAAGGATACTTACTGAATAAAAAGTGAAACTACACGACATGTGTAAGAAAAAAACAAATAACCTCATGGTCTTAATATTTCTTACCAGAGCAGCCTATTCCACCAACATATATTACCTTTATCAGCCACAGCACAGTGCAGCACACAAGAACAAAACCATGAAAACAAGAAAAGCCTCAAAGAACTTTCATGGGTATACTAAAAAGAACGAGTAAAGAGAACATACATAGACAAACAGCTGACCTGAAGGGTGGTAGGATAATGTTTGTACCTTTGTTTACTGACTGGAATCCATTTACAGAACAGATTTTACAGGTCAGTAAACAAGCAAGCACTGGGAATTTAGATAACCAACTGGGCAGCAACAGTTGCCATGGTCTCAGCTATCCTGCTCATCAGCTCTTCCTCTAAAGCTTCCTGGCCCAATTAACCTTTGTTTCCAGAACACCAAACCTCACGAGGCACCAGATCTTACCCACTTAAACACACACAAGGCTTGAAACATCTGCTTAGCTGGGGAATTATGGCAAGTGTGATTTGGCTAATACAATTACAGAAGTCACACCAGTATAATGAAATAATAATGAAGGTATGCTAGACTGAATTTGGGAGCCTAGAAACCACTTGAATCCAAGAGACAGATACAGCACAAAGTAGAAAAGCCAAATCAGTTTTGTTGTGCTTCTCTTAAATAGTATGGATGAACAGCTACATCAATCACAGCTGGGACACAGGCCCATCATCTCATGAAACATTTTGGCTTTAAGGAGATGAATAGACCTTTACTCAGGAAAAAGGCTTTAAAATAAAATACTTTGTTCCTGTTGTGCTGGGTTTGGCTGGGATAGAGTTAATTTTCTTTGTAGCAGCTAATATGGGGCTGTGCTTTGGATTTATGCTGGAAACAGTGCTGATAACAGGGATGTTTTCCTTACTGCTGAGCAGATCTTGCACTGCCTCAAGGCCAACTTGGGATACTTGAGACCACAGGATGTCATGGGCAGCAACAACCCCAGGGGAGGCTGGCAGGGGCCACTGCTCAGGGACTGGAGCTGTTTGCTTCTGCACCACTGTCTTTCCTGGGTATTATTTATCTCTCTCTGTTAATTTCTTTTTCCTTACAACTGATATCTTTGCCCCTGAACTATTAAACTGTTTCTATCTCAACCCATAAGTTTTCTCACTTTAACACTTGTGACTCTCCCCCCCATCCCACTGGGCTGTGGTGCTTAGCTGCTGGTTGGGGTTAAATCATGAAAATGTTTATCAAAGTAATGGGAATGAGGCAAACCAAAAAGCCTCCAGCTAGTACTTGTCTGAGGAAATGAGGTATTAAGTCAGAAGAGCACTGAATAGGAGTTGTTTTAGAATAACTGCAGGTTTCTATCTACTCCCAGCTGTTTAACAACACTAGTGGCACAAAACAGAACTACTGTTCAAGGACAGCTGGATCTAGAATGGATGTTTCAGGAAGGAAAAGAGCAATGAGCTCTTCCCACTTCTCTTTCTACATGCTGCAAAGCAGAGAGTTGATAACAGGATCTGCTCCTTCCCAGAGGACTAGCAATCACCCAAAATGCTTCATGCTAACTGTGAGGAACAGCAGCAGCAAGGCAACTATCAGCCCTTTATTGCAACCCATCTTTTCTTCCAGCCCAACCCACCACTGATGTCTAAGAACAGCTCATTAATTTTAAATTCACATTATGGAAAAACCATGCATTTAGACATCAGCATTTATCCACTCCATGGTTCACAAGTGTTCACATCCAACTTCCACCAGCCTTCGCAACCTACTCGTGAGTCCTCCAAGGTACAACACATATAAAAGCATAACTCCTAAGTAGTTCCTCTTTTAAACAAAGTAACTCACCTTAGCTTCTTCCTCCTGGGCTTTCTTCACAATTGCCTGTAGCTGCACTTCACGTTTGAATTCTGCATGGAGCAATTTCTCCTCCATCATCCTCCGTCTTTGATCTAACAACTCCTCTTTCCATTTCCTCACATCTTTCTCCTATAGATAAGGAGATGGAAAGCAACAAAGACTGCAGAGCACATATGAAACACACACATTTCCTATATTTCCAAATTCATTACTAACACAGTAACTGAAAACAGGGCCTGCATTTTCCTCAGGATTTTCTAATACCTGAAGCTTTCACCGCAGTAACAAAGTATTTTCACAGCCTGCACTCAGTTCAACCCAAACTCCACTGCTTTTGTTACACACCCAAACTGCTTCAGTTTGGGGAGTTTCAGCACTTCTGTTTGATACATGTAACATCTCTACTTGCGACTTGCCTGAATCTGGGTCAGTCTAGTACATCATCAACACTCCCACAGAAGCCCATGATTTGAAACAATGCTCTCTGTAGTATCTGTGATGCACAAATCACCTGTGAAAACTATGTGAACTCAGACGAAAACTTCATTTCACCACCAGTCTGAAATTCTAACATATCTCAGCTAGGTGAAAAAAAAGCCCTTTCTGGAAGGGCAGAGCAGCTCCATCACAGACAGCTTACCCTCTCCATTAATTTTTGAAGCTTCAGTGTCTTTTCTTCACGTAACTTTTCCCTCAGCTGTTGAGCTTTCATTTGTTTCTCTTCATGTTTCTTTTTGGATTCCGCTATTGTCCTTTTAATAAAAAACAAAAACAGAGCAAGCAAATGAGACAACATTAACTGACAGTGTAGCAACCATTTCTATGTCATTTCAGTAGCAGAAAACAAACAGGCCATGGGAGGGCAATTATTTCCCCCGAGTGTGAGTACTCTTCTTCTACACTTCACATCTTAACTCGGGGGCAATGCAGCACCAGCAATTTGTTATCAAAAGATATATACACATTTCTTTTACATTTTCCACCCACAGACTTAAGCAGCCATGGGTCTGGTTGCCTGTTTCAGTGGGTAGTGCAGAGAGGAGCCAAGGCCCAAACCTTTTGCGTGAGGGGGAGGAGAGTTTCTCGTGCATGTGTATGCCATGGCCGGGGGGACGCGCAGGCTCCTCCTCCACTCTGTCCCCCCACGAGTTGCTCTGGCGCCAAGACTCACGAGCTGCACAGCAAGAAAGAGAGGAGCATAATTGAAACACACTTCTCTAGAAGAAGTGCAAGTAATGAGGCTTAGTTCCCCATGAAGTTTCATCATTTCATAGGATGTTAAGGGGTTGGAAT